ACAGGATCGGGCCGTGGGCCGGGCTCGGGTGTAGTTGGGCCAGCCCGCAGAGAACCACCAGGCGGGCTAAGCTGAGGCCCAGAAACCAGCTCCTCCTCATCATCAGAAAAGGGCCGCTCAAAAACAGACCGGGAAACCCAGTGAAACTTGGCCGAGTGATCAGCCTGGAAAGGAAAAACATCTTCATGAAATACCACGTCTCGGCTGGTGATTATGCGACGAGAATCAAGATCGTAGGCCCTATAGCCCTTCTGACTCGCAGCATATCCCATGAACACGCAAGCGCGCCCTCGTTCTGCAAATTTCCCAAGATGAGCATGGGTGTCTTTGCAGTAGACAAGACAACCAAATACTCGAAGATGAGTATATGACGGAGACTTTCCAAACACAACTTCATAGGGGGTACGACCCGTAGCACGAGTCGGAAGCCGATTGATGAGGTAGGCCGCGGTTAGCACACATTCACCCCAAAACCGGATTGGTAGAGAAGCCTGAAACCTGAGAGCACGTGCTGTTTCGAGTATGTGTCGGTGTTTGCGCTCAACTACCCCATTCTGTTGCGGTGTATCTGTGCAGGAAGTCTGTAACAAAATACCTTCCTTCTCATAGAAGGCCTGCAAGACGGTCGTGGAGAATTCAGGACCGTTGTCAGCTTGAATCTTCTTAACCTGTTTACCAAACTGCGTGCGCACAAGACTGCAGAAAATCTGAATATATCGCCCAACTTCTGACTTAAACCGAAGAAGATAAACCCAAACACCACGGCTGTAGTCATCAACGATAGTCAAAAAATAATGTGCCCCGCTATAAGACGGAGTAGGGTAACCACCCCAAATATCCATATGCAACAACTCAAAACAGGATTGGGTCCGAATGCTACTAATAGGAAAAGGCGTCCGAACTTGTTTAGCTCGAGAGCAAGAATGACAAACATCAATATCCGAATCTATGGAATAAGCGAGACTCGATCGCAATTTTCCGAGAACAGCTGTCGAGGGGTGTCCTAAGCGGGCATGCCATAGAACTCCGGGCACTCCTTGACTATCACCCACGGCATGAGCTTGAACCTGTCGACATCCAAATAGCTTCAAGAAATACAAACCATCACGAATCTCCCCCTTCACAATTACGTTCTTGGAGTGTAAGTCCTGTATAATGCAGAAATCACCAAGAAAGATCAACGCCACATTGTGTTCTTGACACAAGCGGCTCACAGATAGTAAGTTGCAGCGAAACTCCGGAACATGCAACACACGACTAAGAACAAACCCATTACTTAGCTTCACAGAACCAATGCGCTGAACCGGTATACTGGCTCCATTCGGAATTCGAACGGGCTGAGCAGGAATATGAGCATGACAGGCAGTAAATAAAGAACTATCCATGGTTATATGCTCATTGCAACCTGAGTCAATCAGCCATTCTGATTCACCGGAAAAAGAGTACGTACCCGCCATGTGACTCGAGGGATCGGCAGCTCCTTGCGCCATGCTTCCCAGAAATTGTTTAAGTTGTTCAAGCTGCTGTGGAGTGAAGGCAGACATGGGATTCAGGTCGGCCTCTATTTGTGCAGCCTTTGGTTCTCGGTTAGAACCCCTTCCTTTTCCATTATCTCGTGCATCACGATTGCGGCGCCGATCGGGTTGCTTCTCGCCAGACCTGTCACGATCGCGATCACGAGAGGGCCAGCCAATGATTTCGTAACACGTTTCCTTGAGATGGCCTTGTTTAAGACAGTGTGAGCAAACGAGCTTCTCACGTTCGCTGGAGTTGCGATCACGACTGCCGCGACCCCTAGTTCCACCGCGTGGAGCATCCTGCTGCTGCAAGGCGAAGGCAGCTGCCTCAGGCACGGTTTACGTTGCTGTGTTATCGTCCGCTACTGCTCATCGTTAAACACGATGCGAAACGCCTCAGGAAGGGTGGGAGGCGTCGACATGGAGAGGATCTGACTCCTCACAGTTGCAAAGGAGTCGTCCAGCCCGAGAAGGAAATCAAGTAAGCGTAGGCTCTCGTTCTGGTCACGACTACGGCGACCACAAGGACAGATCGGTGGCGGCAGGATGGATTGGGTCTCTTCCCAGACTTTGCGAAGATTGGTATAGAATGTAGATACAGACTGTTTCTCTTGCTGCAAGAGACTGACATGACGTCGTAGCTCATAAGCACGCGTCAGATTACCTTTGCTGAACCTGTCGCGGAGATCTTCCCAGACTTCTTGGGCTGTTTTAGCGTGCATCACGCTGCTTCGAAGCTCCGCATCCATGGCGGTCCGAAGCCACCCTTTCACAAGGGCATCGCAGCGAACCCAAGCGAGAGACTTCGACGAGGTTCCCTCCGGTCGTGGAATAGTGCCATCCACAAAACCAAGCTTGTTCTTGGTAACAAGCGCATCCGTCATCTCCAAAACCCATTCGCCGTAATTCGACGGGGTCAACAGGCTGCTAACGTGCAAGTGACCTGTGCTATCGGATTGATGGATGAAAAACGGGCTTGCGGCATCGACATCACCAGGCGTCGAGCCATTCCCACCGCTGCCGCTGTTGATGCTGGATGAGTTCGGCGACTCTTCCCCAGCCATGATCGAGCTAGATGATCAAAGCTCTGATACCATATAGAATTTGATAGAACTTGAGTGCGGAAACGAACAAGACACAGATTTTACGTGGTTTCCCCGAGATTCGGGACTAGTCCACGGGAGAGATCAACTCTCCAGTTTGATTTTATTATTATGTTTTCTCAACAATGGCCGGCGGCCTTACAGGGGTTTTATACCCTTTGATACAATCAGCTAGGGTAACCCATGAAGAGTTCCTTTCATCATACGGAACTGTAATGGCTTGGCTCCTACAACAATCGACCGGGCCGTGTTAGCTGCTGGGCCGGAAAGCTGCGGAGATCGGGCCTGGTCCAATAGCTTTGGTTCGGGCACTTGCTGGACGCCAGCAGCAGTCCCCTTAGGAGCCGCCACCGATGCAGCCTTGCGCCTGCTCGTCCTTGACGACCAGCCCGCGTCTTTCCCAAAACCCCAGAAGGCCCCCTGCATCCAACTTCTGTTTGCTGCCTGACTTAGCAGCCAAAGAAGGTTTAAAGACAGCAGCCTTCACAAAGCTCCTTCCCCTTCCCCAACTTGTCCTCCTTCCGTCCTGGTATATCTGCTTCCTTTTTCTTTGAGCTGGCCCCTCACTGACTGCAGCCGAGAGTCCCAGCACAATCGGGCCAGAGCTGGCTGCCCCTTTCTTCGTCGAGCTCTTCCCGCCATCGCCACACTCCATAAACTCATTCTTACCATGTGCTTCCCCCCTTCCTCAAACGCCGCCTTGCTAGATGATCCTTCGGCGTTCGGGTTAATCCAAATAGTCTTTGGAATTAGCTACTGGCTCGCATCCGATCTCAAACTTCCTTCATTAAGTCTGTACCCATGCACTGTTGTCGTCATGCCTTGGCCAAACTCCTCATCACCTTCAGGATCCTGGAATTCACAACTTTTGTCCATATGGACAAACATGCCACAATGATAGCAGAATTGAGGGAGGAACTCATAAATGAGTGAAACCCAAAATTCTCCAGCAATCTCGCTCCTCGCGTATAGCTTAGAATGCAAGGGTTCCAATACATTTACCAGCACACTCATCTTCACGAAGTGGCCCGGTTCGCCTCTGATGCCATACAAACCGACATCAATGACTTCACCAAGTTTGGTGCCAGCGATCCTCTGGCCGAATGCAACAGTATGACAGTGGCTGGGAATTTCCCACATCCGCACCAAGAAAGGGGTGAATGCAAGGGATTCTACCACAGCCTCCGTGATTGGCTCCCAAGGTTGTAGCTGTAAAATTCGGTCCTTCATTGGCCATGGGGTTCGCTGAAGAACCCCCTCCCTATCCTTAAGATCTTCGAATAGGAACTGGAGCAGGCCGTGTTCTGCTTCCAGAACCGTAACTTGCTTACAGTTCCAAGCTCCCATCACAATACGCTAGATAACAGACAAGCTTGGGCGATTCTCCATGAACAATCGGCCGAGCAGACTCGACTTTGCCCTCTTTATACTGATCTCCACATCTTCAACCGAGAAATCACTATCTGATCAGGGCACAAAGGAGGAAGGAGTTGAAGCGTTGGCCGCTACCCAGGAGCGCAAGCACGAAGCGAAAGGGGAGGCATCGCCACCCAGTTTCAATGAGAGAGAACAAAGCGTTTAGGATCATTTTTTATCAGTTAACAACCACGATATTCGAAATAAATTATGAATAATTTATCTGAAATTCAATCATTTGAAAAATACTTTGGGTAAATTGCACTCTTAAACTTTACTTAGTATTTTAATCATTATGAAAAACTTACATAAGTGTTTAATTGATATAAGAAATAAATGTCTCATAAGTTTTACGTAAGGTATTTATAATTGACCTTATTGAAACCTCTGGCTTTGCATAATAGAAATTGATGAGATAATGAATATTGTAGTTGCCAATAAAGAAATTAAATTATGTAAGTATCACATTTTATTGAGTTATTATATAAAAACAATTGACCTTACAGAACCTTTATGTAATGCAAATTTCATGAGATTATCAAAAGTTTAGTTAATAATAGAGGAATTTTCATTGAAATCTATATTACGAAAAACTTTGATAATATAGGTTTGACTGATATATAAGAAATATAACTATTTATAAGTAGGTTTTACATATTGCCTTTAACTATCCGAAAGAGTGACGTAATACATGTGTTTAATAGATACATAAGAAATAACTATATTTTCATAAGTCTTATATAATGTGTTCATAATATGTAAATGTTCTGTAATGTGGAATGATGAAGGCTTAAGTTGAGTTCAACGTAGAGATCCTCTCTTTTCCCTCCTTGCATGAATGTTCTTACAATAATCGCATACTATGCATAAAAGAAAGATAAAGGAGGAACAAACAACAAAGGCAGACATGCAAATCAAAATATAGCTGCATTATGTGAAAATGCATATTAGTATAATTCTACAACTACAAGGGCTCCCCACTGATCCAGCTTCTAAACATTGCAAAACACTCGTGGGGTTTGTACTCTGGAGCCGTATGCCCACCTCCCTGCACATTCACCAAAGATTGAGTGCAAATGAAAAGTCCAACCAAAAGCCCAAACTAAGCATTCTTTACCTTAACGGTTGCAAATGTCATCTTGTTAGAGTAAGTCCTTGTATACCTGCTAAGGATGCTCAGTTAATCAGAAACCTGAACCCCAAAAAGTTATTATCTAGAACCAAATATGAGTACATACCCTGCAACTTGGTTTTCAACGTGCCACGATCTCCAATCGTCGATGATGGAGAAGTTGAGAGCTCTTATCCATGCTTGGGTACCCAAGTACGTCACCATCATGTCATGATCCCCACTGTTTTACATCCCCCAAAGTTCAGGATCAAAGAAACAGAGAAACCAGTGTATGAACAAGACGAAGAAGAAGAAACCTGTAGACTAATGAACGATAGCCTTTTTCGGAAAGGTACAGGTGATCATCAACACTCCTGAAAATCTGATGTGCATATGGCAATCCATAGTTACATCTCTGCCATGTCCCTATACTCCCCTGCCACCAGAATCAAGACCCTTTTCCTTTATCAGAAAACCAATTACTCTTCAAGCTAGTAGGTTTATGCTCGTATTGATCACGTTACCCCTTTGATATAAAGTGCTGTTTGGACAGATTTGTCGTTGGCCCAATACTTTAATAGCATATATCCATAAGTCTAATCCAGGCATATGCACAAAATCACAAATGAGAAACTTCCCTTCCTTTCACATGAGTGTGTTAACAAGCAATGAAGTGCAGAAAAGTAATTGGGGGATTACGTGGCAGCCGATTGTGGGGAGTCTATCATTTAGCTCCAGGAATCCTTGAAATTGATCCTTCAGGTATCTTTTCCTATACAGTATCTCCATTGGCTTTGGGAAGCATATGCACATTGTGGCTCCAAAATTTGTGCATGGTTAATTCCAGCAGTAGCCTGATGAGAACCCAAATTAGTTTGGTAGCAATAAATGATTTAGGGATATTGTGATTAACTCATTATAGGCTTTCATATTTGTCAAACATGTGGAATTGCTGGGGTCGGGGATTTTGTAATTCCCTCCACAGTTTCTCTTCAACGAATGCATGTAACAAGTTATCTCAATCATTTAAGCTGTGACTTTTACTTCTAGTGTTGTCCAGTTGAGAAACTGAATATTCAATCAATCAATCACCTGATAGAGTTCATAAGAGATGATTGCATGGCCAAATGCATATGGGATTTCGAAGTTGTTCTCGAAGAGGGGATCTGTTGCAGCATTTCCTAGCAAATAACCTTGAACATTAAGTCAATAAATTTGTCAAGTATTCATAAAGTCGCAACCGATGGTCATCTAGTTGACACTCCATCAGGAAAGGAAAAAGAACAATATTGAACTTGAGCTGGTTCAACAAATTAAAAGAACTAACAAGAACCTTGAGATTTATGAATGGAACCTTGCCCTCCTCATTCCTTGCATTTATGATGATAATCATGACCAAATGGAAGAAATTATAAGATCTAGTAAAAAGTCTCTTGCCATTTATTTCAAGATTGACAAACTTACCATATGAGATATTGGCAACTACGCCTGGAACAGTGAGCCCAGAAAAAGAGTCCCCGTCGACGTACACCGGGTTCGTAATAAACTCTGGATGATCGATCAGCCACTGCGAATTGTGATAGCGATGAAAGTAACCAAAACAAACAATCAGTAGTACCCAGATTCCTACTATTGGCAACGAGAACCAGGAAGTATTAGAATTTCTTATTTACCTTCCTGAGGAACACATAAGCTTGTTGAATCTGTAAAAAGTCGCTTGATTGGGATGCTTCTGTAGTCGTTGCGTAGGAAAATCCCGTCCCAACAGGCATATCTACAAAGATTATACTAGCCACCTGCGACAAATCTGGATAACAATTAGCAACCATCTTTAATCATTGGTCGTTAAAACATGTCAGGAAACCAACCACCTAACCTGTGTCCCTGAATCGGGATTTAAGACGAGTGACGGTAAGCTCCCATTGTACTCAACAATCTCGAAGTTCATCGAACCTGAGAAATTTCGAATTCAAAACAATTTGATCAGATGATCCCTTGAAGTGTTACTTTTTTCTGTTCTTTTTTCTTTTTGCCATGATCACGATGAAAAACAGAAGAAACAGGGGATCCTCTGTTTTCTTTTTTTTTTTACTAACCGATTTTATAAACGAGACCGGATAAAGCAGAGCAGCCGAGCCCGCTGGTAAGCCAGAGCACCACCGGATCATCGACAGGATTACCTTCCGACTTAACGAAGTAGTAGAACAGTTGAGCTTTCTCTTTTTCTCCCACTCCGACATATCTGTCCAAAAAGACGAACAATCCATGAAATTACAATTGTTCCATTTTCATTTTTCTTTTCTCTCTCGCCGGAAGGGAAAGTTGTGGCAGTGAAAAACTATATTTACCCTTCTCGAGGCGAAAGGGAAGTAGGCCATCGAATCCAGGAAGGTGAGTGACTACTGCTTGAGAAGAAGATGAAGCTGCACAGTGCCAGTAAATTAACACAGGGAACACATAGTACGTAGAATACTCTGCCCGGCCCCGGTGCCATTGTTCTGCCTTAGCTTGATTTTAGTGATTACTGGAACGTCAAATCTTTCATCTCTCTTTTCTACTTTTTTTTTTTGTTATATGTATAATATGCCCCTCTACTATGACGTTTTATCAAACATGCTCTTCTACTATTTTTTATATCAAACATGCCTCTGTATTTTGTAAAAATGATCAAACATACCCTTTTATTAATAATTTGATCCAAAAAATGTTAACAAAGGTCGAACTTTGGTTTGGGCGGCACAAATGTCTAAAATATTCCTAATAATTTCACTTTTAGAATTTTTTTAGTTCTTTTGTATAGCCAAATAATTCGAATAATTTCACTTTGAATAGACCCAGAGAAATAAAACGGGAGATAAAACTGACATTTTCGCTCCCATTTGCCGATGTCGGTTCGTCTAAATCTCAGTTCAACCAGGATTGGCAATTTTTTCAATGGAATTTTGACAGAAGGGCATGTTTGATAATGTTTTCAAAGTACAAGGGCATGTTTGATATAAAAAATTATCGTCCTTTCATTGGATTGGGACGTTTTCAGTAGGGGTGTACATGAGTCGAGTGGTTCAGGTTTAGACATTTTAATCACCCGATCCATGCACTACGGTTTGGGAAATATTAAATCAAACCCACCCAAAAAAATATAAACCCTACGGTTTGTTTCTAATTGGGTTGGGTCGGGTTGACGTTATTTTTAAGTAAAAACCCAACCCAACACAAAATATTTAATTATTCTACACCATAAGAATATTTTATAACTAATTAAAAATTCAAAAGAATAAACCGAGGTGAAAGGTATCAAAATTCACAACTGTTGTTTGAATTTTAATAAAATTTGATTTACTTCAACTTATGTCTAGTTTTTTTCACGACATTTGTTAAAATAGGCTAAAAAGGTTACAAATGAGTGCATTCATAATATGTTATTCTATTAAAATTGTACACAAGAAAAAGAATTATGTGGATCATAGTGATATTAAATTTATGTCTAAATTTTAAGCCGGAGAATGCATTAGATTAGACGGACCTCAAGAGAAAAACATGGCGAAATATCTTAATTTTCTCATAAGTATGGCTATATACGACATAAATATTTTTTTGGATTTGAACTCATACCAATAATTGGAACACGGGTTGGGTCGGGTTCTACGTGTTGTGTAATCCAAAATCCAAACCCAACCCAAAAGAGGCGGGTTATACAAAAGAAAATCCTCACCCAACCCAAAACCTTCGTTTTAACGATAAATACAGGTGGGTTGGGTCGGATTAAACGGTTGGATCGATTTGCGGATGTGTTTGTTCACCAATAGTTTTCAGGGCTTCATTTGGGGACCCGTTCCCTTTGTCGTATCAAAGTTTGCTTCTTTACTGTCTTTGTCCCGTATTAATTGATCACTTGTTGCGTTTTAATTGATCACTTTGTCCCATTTTACTGTCTTTGTCCCGTTTTAATTGATCACTTTGTCTAATTGTCTTCTTCCTTTCATTGGATTGGAACGTTTTCAGGGCTCAACACAAACGTACCAAAAAAATTAGGCTTAATACCCCATTTTGGCCCGAAGTTTGGCGATAGTGACGATTTTGGCCCCAACTTTTCAATAAGACAGTTATGGCCAACTTTTCAAAATATTGGACAGATTTGGCCTAAAATTTATTTTGACTGTTAAAACTGACGGTCAAAACTTGTTCCGTTTAACTCAACATTACCCACTAAATAACTGATGTGGCAGCCACGTCAGAGCCACCTCAACATTTTTTATGCTGAGTTAAACGGAATAAGTTTTGACCGTCAGTTTTAACAGTCAAAATAAATTTTAGGCCAAATCTGTCCAAAATTTTGAAAAGTTGGCCATAACTGTGTTATTGAAAAATTTGGGCCAAAATCGTCACTATCGCCAAACTTCGGACCAAAATGGGGTATTAAGCCAAAAAAATTACTATGTATTACATATTTTGAGGTCATATCTAGTATTCAGAGTTTGCCTCGATTTGGTACCGCTCTCGCGGCCCGCACCGAAACAGTGCTTTACCCCTAGATGTCCAGTCAACTGCTGCGCCTCAACGCATTTCGGGGAGAACCAGCTAGCTCTGGGTTCGAGTGGCATTTCACCCCTAACCACAACTCATCCGCTGATTCTTCAATGGTGTGATGGGTAAAAAAAGTGGCTGACACTCACTGTTTGGTTATGGAAATAATAGATGTTGATATTGATGAGAGGGTTACATATGATTGGTTTATGAGACTTACGGGATTGCATGAAAAACTTGATTGATCTGTAGATAAATTTTAAATTATTAATATTGTACAAAATAATAGATTTCAATGATTAACATATAAACCAGGTGAAGATATAAACTTCTCGTGCATGAGTTTATAGATGACAATAAGCGGGTTTGTGGTGAATTTTTTTAAATCATTTTCAATTTCAAAATCTCAAAATTTGCAAAATTATTTTCATTCCCCCAACTTTGAATGCTCGTTAATAATCCGCGGCCATCCTATACAACGCCAAGGCCAACATCATTGATTTTGATTCAAAACTTTCACACCATGTACTCAGTTCCATATTCTTCTGCTAATTTATTACCTTCCAAAAGATCCTTTGTTTCCGCTTTAATTGGGGTAGAACGAAGAAGATTCTTAGCTCATCCACCACATATTTGTCCATGGTTGTTAACAACAACAACGCCATGGGGTCACTAATGAACGACCCATCACAGTGAATCACCAAAAAGTGATCACTTGGCGGGGGATTCGTATGAGACAAGGCTCCCCTAATATAGAAAGGAGAGGTAGGATTGGGAGGTGAGGGACCTCGGGAAAGAACTCCATTAGTAAGCTCTTTATATGTTTGCAGACACATATTCGAGGGTCACAAAGCTCTATTCTTGAAAGCAATGGCGGATCTAGGGGTGGGTGAATCCGCAGGCCACAACCCAGCCTCCTCTGGATCCAGAGCTAGTATGATACTGATAAATTTTTTCGATTTTAGTTATTTGACTTAGTGTTATTTAAAAGTCGATACAGTGTAATTTGAGAATATGATTTTTCGTAACGGGGAAAATGGTCGAAATGAACATATCCAATCTAATAATCTAAATTCAATTTAGAAATTCTAGTCCCAATGTTTTTCATTTGAAAAAAAATCTCAGAGTCTAAAATGTAAAAGACAAAAAGTATATAAATTTCATTGAAATAAGAAAAACCTCTAAACTAAAGCTCGCACTACTCTGATTCATAATCTCATTGACCACCTAATGCAAATTGATGTGAAGCTCTCCCATTAAAATTTGTAGGCTTATTTAAAAACTATAATTAAGAGAATATTATTCAATATGTGGTGATTTTCTAAATACTTCAAGCTTGAGGGGTAGGGATGACGAGAGTCATATGGGAAGAGGGCCCCTATAGGGCTATTTTAACTTTTATTGGATCTTTTTCAACTCCTAATAATAATTTTGGCTGTCTTTGGGAAAATTTGTCCCAAAGATGAAAGTCGGTGCAAGAGATTCGATCTCCTTTTCTAAATGATTCAATCTCTCTCACCGTCTAATTCATCTTCTTCTTATTCACGACTTTGTGCTCATTGAAAATCATATTTTTCAACTATATTCAAGTGGTGGAAATAGTTGTTGTGTTTTTAGATAATAATAATAATAATATTTTAAAATTTTAGGTCTCATTGACCATCGAGTCCAATTACTCTATTTGTTGTCTGAATTCATCTTCTGCTCATTCATGACTTTGCTCATTCAAGTAATCAAAATGATTATTTTAGTTTTTCATAGAGCTATTTCAAAATCTAGGACTTCATTGGCTATCGATTCCAATTTAGTCTCATAGGTCATAAGTGTACTGTTTTAATGAGAGTTTGATTCAATAGTTTCAAACCTGTTCTTGCTCAATAGTATTTCATAGTCCCATTAACCACCAAGTACAAATTGATGTGGTGTTTTCCCATAAAATCTGTGTGGTTTCTTGCTTTGTAGTTATGTTTTAATAGTTACTAGACTTCCTTGCCCGCACTCCGAAACGGGACTTGAGAAGACTTGAGAAATATACAAAAAAATGTGATTTGATTATGGAATTACTAATCCCAACCCTGTTTGATGAACTTGCCCGAGTTACAAATTAAATTAAAATAAAATGGTCATATATGCACCATATATTGGAGCAGTTGCTGGGGAAGTTAATTGCATACAATGAGCAAAAGAGTACAACTTTATAGATAAAACTTACATTAACAAACAAACCATCGATACAGACATAAACATGTCAAGCACTGAGTAACAATAACAAATATATCATATGTTTACATTAACTTCAACCATTGCTGAGAACATTTACAACATTCTATTTGACCGACGACAAAGCGTTACTTACAAAAAAGAGTAACAAAAGACTTTCCTAAACGATAGTTATCAACCAAGTGAGCAAACAACCTCACACCACCTTAGCTAATCATGGGTATACCAAATCAAATTCCTCAAGCATTCTTCCATGACATACGAGAATAACCTGCAGAACAATAAATTAATTGTGGGAAGATAAGAGTGTTAGGGACAGACCATAACATTAATTCTCAGTTAGCACCATGGGCAGGGTTCTACTATCCTTTCAATGGGAGCACAACAGAACCCATGCAGTGGGATAATAGAATTAGAAGGTAACCTAGTGGCTGCTGTAACCCACAATATCACCAACAACTAGGGCTGCAAATGAACCGAGTTGCTCGCGAGCGGCTCGGCGTTCGACTCGAGAAAAGCTCGTTTGAAACTTGGCTCGTTAATAAACGAGCCGAACATGAGCCAAGCTTTGTTCAGCTCGTAAAGCTCGCGAGCTAACTCGACGCGGTGGCTTGTTGAGCTAAACTCGTGAGCTCGCTCGTTTAGTGCTCATGATATGTCTCAACATGTGGATAGAGAGCCAACCCGATTACCGTCTTATGGACGAATCAATCTATATCTTATGATTTTAATTCATATGGTTGTTAAATTATATATTTTGTCATATATAAAGTTTAACACGTTGAGTATGTGAGCAAATATATCTTATTTTCTATTTTAAAAAGAAATTATGTATTATAGATTGCTTCGATACTATGAAATAATATGATATGGAGTAGTTAAAATTTATTAAATAAATGATATATGATACCAACAAAGTATATATGAGATTAACTAACAAAATAAAGCATATGTATCATGACATACAAAATGAAGTACCAAATAAAAGTCAAGATTTTAGTAAACAAGCTAGATCGAACTCGACTCTGCTCGTTACTAAACGAGCTGAGCTCGAGCTCGGTTCATTTATTAAAGAACTGAACTCAAGTTGGTGTAAAACTCGACTCGACTCGGCTCATTTACAGCCCTACCAACAACATGACCCATCTTCTCCACAACGCGGGTCTCACCTCAGTCCTCACAAAATCTGAGGAGGAACCTTTTTTTTTTTTGGTCGAATAGGAGGAACCTATTTGAGGAAAGGGGAAGCAAACAAACCCGTCAAATGTACACAGTCAGATTGACAGAAAAAGATATCTAAAAGAGATAACAAACTCAACATTGGAGATGAACAATTCGTCAAACAGAATATGGTTGTTCAATCAAGTGAACCCAAAAGAGCACTTACAAATCTGGTTTTTCTCAAGAGCATTGCTCCTAAAGAAGTGATCTAAAGTGAAAACCCAAAAAACTAAAAAGAAGGATCGGGAGCTTCTTATTTTGGTAGAGGGGGCTGACCATTCATGAAAGGACAGAAAATCTCTTATATCAACCCTCTTCTTTTTGGGTCCAAATGCGAATCTAGCTCAACTCCAAACCCTCCCAGAACCTTACAAACTGGGAAAAAGTTACCTACAACTTCAAGCCATAACAACAACAAAAAAAAAAAAAAAAAAAAGAGGATACAATCTATAAAGAAATGATTAGGGAAATCAACGTAGTGACAAGTGGGAACCCGTTGAAAGAGAAAAGGTGAGGAAGAAATCTCCTGCTCTAGACCTATCTTCTGCTAAGCAAGTGTGCTTTCCGATCTGCAACCGAAAACCTCAAATCAAAGGGAAAAAATCAGAGTTAGCAGAGATCTATGAGCTACAGTGACACTCTGTTGCACGAACCACCTTAGCAATCACCGTAGTTGAGCGCGGGTTCCCACTCAGGCAATCATCAGGTCCTACTGACATTTCGATGTTATTCAAGAGACGCCTCTGACAGTGATCCCATTTTTGGCATCTCCTGTAAAAGCAATTAATCAAACCCATTAGAGAAAGAAAGGGAGAACAAACTCATTTCAGAAAAGAGAGTGAAAGAACTCATCAAAGACAGAGAGAAGAGTACCTGCGGATCTGGATCTCCTCCCAATCGAATCTCGACCTCCACAATACGAAGCCTTCTCATGCATCCCCCAAATTGGAATGGAAAAAATTAGGACCATAACAATATTCATATCAGACCTAAGAAAACAAAGATAGAAATACCTGTGATTTTCTTGATTCTTGAGATACAACGTCGCAGGGGATGCTAATCCGTGCTGTTGTGTCTGGACACACCAACAGTGTTGAGAGAAGGGAGGGAGAGAGATCGAGATGAGAATATGAAGGCTAAATTGTAAGTTTGGTTACTAGAATTACTTAAAAATTTTACGTTTGCCACTAAAAATAATTTATTCCATCTGTAGTCACTTAAATTAGGTTAACAGTTCAAGTTTGGTCACTGACCGTTAGTATCCGTTAACTTTTGCTAATGTGGCAGTCAACTCTTATAGTTGACCGTTAAATGAGTGACGTGTCAATTAAAAATTAATAAAATAATCTAATAATTTTTTATTTTTCACCTAATTATATAAAAATTAAAAAAATCCTAATTATTTTAATTATTATTTTCCATCGCTCGTGGCCATTCCTCTCCCCTCCGGTCGCCATTCCTCTCCCCTCCGATCGACGACCTCTCCCGGCCGGCCAAGCCCCACGTCATCACCGTCTTGGTCCTTTGAGCATTCGAGAGACAGTGATGGCGCCGTTCTTTAATTTTCAGGGTTTCTGGACGAGCTTTCTGATCTGGGAAATTCATAGGACAAGATGCGATTTATTGCAGCTCTTCTTCTCACCATCATTCTCGTTCTCTACGGCTCCTGCGGCTCATTTATAGGTACGTGTATACCCGCTTCTTCATTAGAGCATCCACATTGCAATTGCATTCTCAATTGCAAAATGACATGTTATAGGTGGTTGCAATTGCAAAACCAATTGCATTGATGTGGCTACCAATTGCATATTTGCAAGTTTGCAACAAATGCAATTCCATATGCAAGTTAAAATATCCTAAAAAAAGGGGATTTTTTTATTTTTTATTATTTTTTTTTCTCTTTTATTTAATTTTCTATGATTTAAACATAATATTTAATTACATTTGCAATTGCAAATTAATTGCATTGATGTAGGTGAATGAAATGAATGTGATGTGGATTACAAAAAATTTGAGTTGACAATAAAAAATATAAATACAATTTCTTTTGCAATTGCATTGATGGAGATGCTGTTAGTCTCTTATTGATCACATTTCAGTCCTCTGTAATGGCAACTGCTGATCACTTCCCGTTCGTCCACGACGCGACCATTGCCCCGCCGGTGGTGTACTTCGACTACATTGAAAGCGATATTTTAGAGAGAAGAATATTATTGGGAAACAAAACTTGATTTCTATTAACAAGAATCCCAATTGATATACAAGAGAAGAGAGGGTTTTTAGGAACAGAAAGTGATACACGTTCCATACAATTAGGAACAGGAAAGTAGTGGAAGAAGTTGGGAGAGAGACCCAACAGAAACAAAAAGAATAAAAAGGTCTTTTATTTTTAGTTACTATCTCTAATATACATCATCATCATCTGCGGGAGAACCGCCGGGTGCCCGCTGGCGGCGAATCTGTCCCTGAACGCCATCGTTTTGGTTCTGGAGAGGGGTGGGTCGCCGTACCGGGACTTCAACGTGGGCAACTCCACGAGCACCGTCGGACACGTCGCCACACTCGGCTTCCCAGATCTTCATCTCGGAGGACGGCGTGTACAACACGCGCGGCAGGGTGCTCGGCGGCGGGAGCGCCATAAACGCCGGGTTCTACTCCCATGCGGAGCCGGAGTTCGTACGTGATGCCAGGTGGGACGAGGATCTGGTCCGACAGTCGTACGACTTGGTCGAGTCCAAAGTCGCCTTCGGGCCGCAAGTCAAGCAGTGGCAAAGACGGTGATGGCGCGGGGCTTAGCCAGCCGGGAGAGGTCGTCGATCTGAGGGGAGAGTAACCGCGACGGGCGGTGGAAAATAATAATTAAAGGAATTAGAATTTTTTTAATTTTTATAATAATTAGGTGGAAAATAAAAAATAATTAAATTAAATTAAATTATTGTGTTAATTGCAAGGTTGGTCACTGAGTTTATTAAAAACGTTCATGTTAATATTTAATTTCATTCATGGTCACTAAGATTAGTTCAAAGTTCAAATATGGCCACTCTCCGTTAGTTTTTGCTGATGTGGCAGTCAACTATTATAGTTGACCGTTAAATGAGTGACGTGGCCATTAAAAAATATTAAAATAATAAATTTAAACATTTATAATTTCCACATCATTTTACAACTATTAAAAAAAATAAAACTTAATTCCGATTATTCTATAAATACCTAAACCTTTCCTTTCTCCTACTCCATCACCGCCATCGCCGCCACGTCACCGCTACCACCAACGTTACTCACAAATAGGGGTGGGCATTGGGTGGGTCGGGTGGATTTTGACCATAAAATGCACCCACCCGCGCTTACACGGATTGATAATTTTTAACTCACCACCCACCCACATTTAGTCTCGGGTTGGGTCGGGCGGATGGTGGATGTTTTGGGTGGGTTTGTGGGTTCACCCACATCACAATGTATATAATATAAACTTATAAAGGAGTCAACTTGACATGATAACAGGCGAAGAGAGTTATCTGGAGAAACAAGAAGATGAAATAAGGCGAAAAATGTCGAATTAGTTCTTAATATTTTTCTACAGATTGAGATGATTACCAGGTGCAAGGAGCTAAGAAAAATAATTCCACAAAGCAAAGAGTAGTGATCTAGGCAAAAGAATTATAGGAAAAAATAAAGGTAAGAAGAGGGGATCGCCATTTGGAAGGTTGACTTTGAGGTTCGAACTCCAGGAGCAGTCCTAGTTTATGTCTAATGTCTCCACTCTCCCCTCTCTAGCGCCGACGACTTTGATCTTTTTGCTGTTGGGTTGAGCGGATCACCCGCGCACCCACCCACAACCCACCCACCACCCGGCGGATGGCTCCTAGCGCAACTCGTCACCCACCCATAGACCCACCCACATAACGAAATTCGGGTCAAATGCGGGTGGGTCGGCCCAAACCCGCGGATGATCCGCCCGCATGCCCAGCCCTACTCACAAAAATCAAATTGAAGGACCCGCTTCCGCACGCGACTTATTAGTAAACGAGTGAAGTGTAGGAGGAATTTTTTTCCAAACCGAGCATGCAACTGCTCATTACCAATTTGACTCATTTGGAGTACTATAATATGTCCAAGCCGGCAGCAAAACAAGAGCCCCCGATGTTTTTGCTATGATTTGGATTATCTAGTGACCATATACCACCTTAATTCTTCAAAGAAAATCCCGACGGAAACTTCAATGGATCCCCGTTTTGCCCTTTTCGTCCGAGCTGATCCGATCGATGAGATTCACTACCGTCACTTCCCGACGAAACTGACCCTCGTCGTCGTCAGTCTGGATAATAATTTCCTGCCGTCAGGGGCATGCGCAGAATTAGCGGGAATCCAAGATAATCCATAAAAATTAATTAAAATCCCAGTACTCAATTAATCCAATCCTAATCAATATTTGATTCTTCGAAAAAGTCATTTAATTCCCAATTATTTCGTCAGTTATGGAGATTAATCGTCGTCCCCTCTTCTTCTCCTCCTTCCTCAGCAGCTTCCTGCCCAACCCAAAAGACTGAATTGGTCCCCTGAGAATTTTCAAAGTCAGCATTTGAATTCCGCCATGAAAACGACCTGACCAAGCTAGTCATTGAAAGTTATAAAACAACACTCATTTTCCCCAAAATACCCTGTTTCCCAATTTCACCGGAGATGGGGAAACCGATCATCGAAAACAGGGTACTGTACTACCCTGTAAAGCCTCTAGCTTTCTTCTCCGTAATCTTCATCCTCACCGTCTACCTCGTCCGCACAAGCATGATCATGTCAATTAACATATGAAATCTAAAGAACACGAGGATTTAACGTGGTTTCCCTGAAGATCAGGACTAGTCCACGGGAGAGATAGAACTCTCCAAAGGTAAACTCTTATATGCGTTAAGGTTTTTCTGGTTACAGGCTACATATTTATACGTACAAAAGCGGATGGCTGACTCGCTAAAACACAACTCCTAACAATGGCCAAGTGTAATCAATGAAAGGGACTGCAGTATAGTGGCTCAAGTAATAAATATCGAATCCACGGGTCTCTAGAGTTACTATTACTCAGCTTCAGTTCATTATCTAGCAAAACAGATTAAGATGAAAGAACTAAAACTACTCTAGCAAACTACAGTTAAAGTTAATCTAATTACAGGTTGGGAACTCACTTAGGTATGATTCCCCCTAGCCACTAGCCAGATTAACGATTGATGATCTCTGACTTGTTTCACTTTCATTCACAATGCGGAGAATCCTTGACTAGACCTTGAGTCTCGACTAAAGGAACAAGACCCTCTTGAGTCAATTGCCTAGAGGGACGTATCCTTCTCTAGAACAATCGATCAAGGCGTTCTGAACTAGACTCCCTCTATCGAATGAGGTTCTCAATTGATACAAAGCAGTGAATCAACCCTCGACTAAAGCAATCGATCCACTACTATCAATCTATGGTGCTCTATTGACCTAATCAGGTATTCGCTCTCATAGGATCAAAGCAGAATCAATAATCTCGACTAAAGCAGAATTGAATCGTGAAAACATGCATAGATTGAATATGAACTCAAGATTATCAAGTCAGAGTACTCATACAATCGTCCAATCAAACAAACATAGCTAGGGTTCCTCAAAACCTAAGTGAAGGGAAGTTACTCCATAGAGAAGAGAGAGACTGCAGAAATCTGATCTAGATCTTCAATCTCCATCTCCAAGCTTGATTCCCGAGCTCCAATGGCGAAGAAATCCTCCAAAATAGCTCCAAGAATGTTCCCAAGTCGCTCTCTCTCTCTAGGGTTCGTCCCTTGGGTGTTTGGGATCCAAAACCCAGCTCTCTCTCTCCAAAAATCGCAAAACAGCTTTTATACCCGCTGAAACTCGCACCCCCTACTTGCACGGCCGTGCAAATTGAGATTTTGGCCGTGCAGACCCCCTGGGAAACCCGCACGGCCGTGCACAATTTCACACGGCCGTGCACAATTTCCAGCATGCACTCCTAAGCTTCGTTGATCTCGTTTGAGCTCGTTTGACCTCCGATTCAGTCACCGTTTGATCCCAGACGCTCGTAGTCTCGTCCTCTTTCTTTTCATGACAAGCTTGCATGATTCTTTGTCCATAAAGTGAGGTAGAAATCCATTCTTCTTCAGGTCATGGCCGAGTTTCTCCTCCCGAATCGTCAATTGATCTCTGATTGACTTGAAACTTGCGCCTATACTTCACTTTATGTGCTAGGACCTGAAATGTGAGAAAGGAACACAACCTAGCATAAAATAGGCCAAAGTCACGATAATTCAAGCTCAAACAATCAAGAAACAAAGGGGAAAACATGTGCAAATACCGAGTCATCAAATCCCCCCACACTTAACTGTTTGCTTGTCCCCAAGCAAACCTAACTCAAACCAATGCAGCTCTCCAGAGCTCTATAGCAACATACAACCCCGATCGTCGGTAGAGGATTTCCTAGATCATATAGCAGCTTACGAGGTCAACTGGTCTTTCTAAGACGTTCCCTATCTCTCTCAATGCGAGTACTAGACTCAAGCCAAGATCATGAGAAAAAGTAGAAGTAAGACAGTCAGTTCATGGATAAAGGGACTCACACCATTCACAACCAAGGACTCGTTGTACCGGGGTGCTCTTTCACTTCATTTCACCGTTGGAACCCCCTTTTTCTCACTTTCATTTACATTTTTTTCTTTCATTTGGTGGGGTTCCAACTGCAGTCTTTTGCACGGTCGACCCTTATTAGTCGAGCAAGAGCAATTTCTATACATCTGGCGCTCGCCAGAGTACTTCTTTTAACTCATTTTCCTCAACTCGTGTGGAGGGTGAATGAAATTAAGGGGGGTCGGAAGCTCTATCCGTGCCCTTAAAAACACATCCTCGAGTAGGCAAACCGCTCAACGGGTGGAAGTTTTACTTGTACTAGAGACAGCTTAGCTTCACCTTGTAGGAGTACCTCACTAAGGATCACTAAAATCTCTTCCAAAACCCGATTTCGTGCAATGAACGGTGCCACACACGTTGGGCTTTCCCCATGTTTAAGATTTTAATGATTTCGACATGGAGGACCAACTGCTTCCCATTTTCCACGTGAGCACCCTGTTCGATACACGAGTCCATAACACAATCCAAACAGAGTCACCATTACCGCATGAATTCAACGGTCTTAGCTCCACTAATTCACATAATCAACTGGCACAGCAGAGAGCTAGATAGGAAAAATCTTATACTTCAACATCCTCCATAGTGCTACACTACCTCCCTAGGTTGCACATTACTATAGAGACTGTCAATTCAAAGCATACTGAGTAGGCAATTTGCAAGGAAACACGTACTTGGAGCCCTCAAATTTAAAAATTTGGACAGTGGACTAGGCTCCAACACACAAACAGCCAAACATTCACCCGCATACATAATCGAACACCCCCCCCCCCCCACACTTAAGCACGACATTGTCCTCAATGGAGGAAAGATAAGGAGGGTAGAACGAAGTTACCGGATCAAGGGTGAATGATGATGGACGGGGCAGGCGGTGCATTCCAGGAAGAGAGAGTAATCAGAACACAAACACCATACAAAATCTCACAAAGGTTGAGCTATTGACTCTAAAACCAAATAAAAAAACTGACTCAACCGAGGAGAAATAGAGAAAGAAATGCAAACCGACTGGTTGGGTTGCCTCCCAGCAAGCGCTTCTTTCACGTCGTAAGCCGGACGATGGCTCCTAAGTTTCGGTCCATGCTAGAACCTCCTTGAAGTTGAGGTTCTCATCTATG